CTGGACCTCCCAGTTTCCCACAGTTCAGACTTCCTTCTTCTGTTCTCATCCCTCTCACAGCTGCCTTCTTGCTAGTCAGGGTCAACACTGTGCTGGACTGACTGAGCTCAGTGTGAGCTGTGAGCATGAGCAAGAGGATATGAGGCTTCCCTTTCCTTTCCTTCCCCTTCCCATGTGTTGGGTGGGGATGGAGGAGACGGGACAGGACAAGAGAGACATTTCTTCTTGATTAGACCAGATATGATGAATGGAATCCTGTCATTACTATGTGTTAAGTTTTACCAGGAAGAGCATTAAAAAAACAAAAACAAAAAACTGTTGCCTTTGGGTTGATTCCAACTCATGGTGACCCCATATGTTACAGAGTAGAATTACTCCATAGGGTTTTCTTGGCTGTGATCTTTATGGAAGCAGATTGCCAGGCCTTTCTTCTGCAGTGTAGCTAGGTAAATTTGAACTGCAAACCTTTAGGTTAGTAGTAGAAGGCAAATGCATAGATCTTAAATTAATATAGAACCAAAATTTACCCAATGCTTTCTCTGTGTCATGCAGATACACTACCTAATCAGCCCAGTAGCTTTATGAGGCAGAAACCATTATTACCATTTTAAAGAATGGAAAAATTGAGAAACAGAATTTAAATAACCTGCCTCTATCACACAGCTAATAAGTGGCAGAGCTGGGATTTGAACTCTGCTCAATTTGTCTCCAGAACCCATCTTAACCAATGCAGAATATTATTTTCCATACGGGTGCAATTTCAGCCCTTGTTTACTTAAATGGGGCCTCTGTTTTACAGGCAGTCCCAAATTCATGCATACCCACGCATTCATTCTCCCTGGAAAACTGTACAAAATGTCAGCATTATTTCTTATGGATTTTTCCACACTGGAAGCGATTGAATGGGGTCGTTTCATTCCTCCCACTGCCTCTGACCTGGACTGTGTTCAGCCTTCTGGAAGGAAGCCTACCAGCTCAGACTCCTTCCCTCTTGGTGAAATGAAACTTTGAGCAAGGGCCCTGACTCTAGTGAGTTATTGTCTGAAGGTTGGAAATGCTTTGAAAAGATGATGTGAGGTATTCAGTGGTACTCAATATATGTTTTATGAGTATGTAGCAAGTGCAAGGTGCCAGCTAGGCTCTGGGGAGACATCATGATGTGTACATCTCAGTCCCTGCCCTCAAGTAGTGGATGCACAATCACTGTTTTATGAGTGACAAAGTATGTGTGCACACAGAGGAGCGTTAAGTAGCAGGACTGCAGGGAGGCAGAACATGTGCAGTAGCACAGGAGAGGTATTAACAGGAGTATAGGGCATGTGTCATGGAATCAGGATATGCCCATGACTGAAAGCTGGAATTGTATCACGAAAGGTCTTAGCTACAGGACCAAGGAGTTTAGGTTTTATTCTGAGGGCAGTGGGGAGCCACTGGAGGCTTCTGAGCAGCAAGTGACATGATTAGAGGTGTGTCAGTGGGGGGGGTGGGGTGGAGATTGATTAGGCTTTCATGGGCCTGGTGGCTGGAAGGGCTCTGAAGCATTCCAGAGATGGAAGGGAAGATGTGAGGCATTTGAGGAAGGAAGACTCCAGCAGAGCACATGATTAAGAGAGTTGGAGGCTTGGGGGCACTTGAAAGAGCAATCAGGTGAGGCTCCTCTGCAGGGCAGGACTGACAGCTGGCATTCTCAGGCTTCTGTGTCAGATCCTCTCCTGTCAACCCCGAGTAGAGGGAGGGAGGCTTAGGAACAGGAGTGGTTGAGTGGAAAAGACAAATGAATCTGAGGTTCCAGGTTAGGGTGCAAAGAAAGTGGGAAAGTGAGAGAGAAGCAGTTTGCTGGAGGGGACAGTGATGAGTTTGATTTGAGGCTTAGAGTTGACTGACTCTGCTCTGAGTCTTACCAGCTGCAGCTGAGCAGTGTAGGCCTTGGGAAGAAGAGGACAAGGAGGTGGAGGCAAAAAGGCCAGAGCAAGGGGCCATCAGCAAGCACAGCCACCCCACCTGCTCTGTGCCTTTTGCTTTTGCTGCCATCAGATGAGCACACTTGCCCAAGCCTTTTGGCAAATCCCATACCCGCAGGGCCTCCACCCACCACTTTTTCTTGCCCTGTTCTAGGGAAGGTGCACAGAGCATGGGCAACCATGGACAACCTCAGGAATACTCAGTCCACCTCCACTGGCTCAAGAGAGTTTGCTCTGACCTGCCCCACCCCCCAAGGTTGACAAGAGAGGATCTGACACAGAGGCCTCGGAGGGTCAGCTGTCAGTTCAGCCCCGCAGAGCCTCACTGGCCTGCCCATCCAGTCCCTCCACCCCTCCACCCTCCGGGCTTAGATCTATGCATTAAGACAAGCCTGTGGAGGGGTAAGATGATCCCGTGGGTCTCTGGGGGGCTTAAGCAACAGATGGTCCCCACATACAAGGTTTGCTGTTGGTAACTTGAGCAGGATCTGGGGAGGGAGCTGGCGGGGACCGAGGCAGCTTGGGCCCAGGGACTAGAACCTCGTGAATGTTATCAGACATAGCCTCCCCTCCCCAGCCTCCAAACTCGGCCGTCACCCAAGTCAGTCTCTCAGCCCCTTCCAGCTGGCACCCGGGACTCAAACCTTACACACTCACAAAGGGACTGGGAGAATTGGCCCCCAGTTTCCTGCTCTGGCTTGGCCAGGGTAGTGGAGCCAATTGGGCCAAGAAGGCAGGAAGAGGGTTGGAGCCAAGTTGGAGCAGCTGAGAGAGGACAGGTGTTTGAGAGGGAGAAGCAGGCCTGGGAAGAGCTGGGTAAGGGTTGCCAGCAAACAGGAGTTTTCTGGCTTCCTTATCTCTCTCCTGACTGGACATATGCTTACAGCACCTAGGGAAACCCCAGACATAGAGGTTTTTCTTGGGGAGTCTTAGCTCCTCATCTTTCCTTAATGTCCCCTTCACCCTGTGCCTTGTAGAGGACAGAATGGCCTTACTGTCACTGTCCAGCCATCTCAAGGAAGTCATTTAGACTGTGGCATTTAGAGTGAGAGAGTCCTGTGTTGGAGTCTGAGCTGTATCATCTTAGGCAAGTTACTGTATCGCTACCATGGTTTGCTCATTTATTAAAATGAGAATAACCCATTCATATGGTTGATAAAAGGAGTTCTGTTGGCATAGTAATCTTAATCATTAGCATTTGACTATTAACTAAAAAGTCGGTGGTTCAAACCCACCAGCTGCTCTGTGGAAGAAAGATGAGGCAGTCTCCTTCGGTAAAGATTTACAGCCTTGGAAACACAATGGGAGTCACTATAAGTCAGAATTGACTTGATGGCAGTGACTTTGGTTTGGAGGGTTGATATAAATAAAGATGACATGAGATGATAGGCACAGAGTACTCAGCATAGTTCCTGTGATGACATAGTCAGTGCTCACAAATTGCCCTTTCTATCATCATCGTCATCATCTCAGGGGAGGATTGCAGAGACTCAGAGAGGGGCAAGGATGGTTACTACATCTCAGTTCTTCTGGTTACCTAGTGGCGCTCTGACAGGAATATACCACAAATGGGATGCTTAAACAAACAGGAGTTTATTCTCTTACAGTTTGGAGGCTTTAAGTCCAAGTTCAAAGTTCCAGGCTTTAGGGGCTGGTGAAAGCCCCTCAACTTTGGGATTCAGCTCTGCCTCCTGCTCCTGGCCCACTGGAGCTAGAGGCGTTTCTTCACTCAGACAGCTGCTGGCTGCTGAGACTAACAAACCCAAGATTGACAAAAAGGCACAGTCTCGATGTTACCAAACCACACAGCAGGCCATTAATTTAAGTCCATTAAAAGTCCCAAGGTCGGCAGAGCATGGCAGGCTGCTGAACAATGACACAGCTAATGCAGAGTCCAAACGTTCCATAAGCTAGAGACCATTCCCAAGGCTTCTCCTTATATACAGGAAGCAGACCACATCCCAAAGGCAGCTACTCATCTGCTTGTGGTAGATCTCACCATGGAGTTGATTGCCAGTCTCATCATGGGGAATAACTACCACCAGCTGCCCAGCCACTCAACCTGGCCCAGCCAGGTTGACATACAAATTTAACTACAACATCTGTACACCTTCAAATTGATCTCAACTCCATCTTTTACTATCTAACCTTGGGCAAATTACTTTGGTGCCCCAGTTTCCTCATCTTTAAAATGCAGACAACAGTAGTAACTATTTCATAGGAAAGTTGTGATGATTGGATAAATTAATAGAGATCAGTATGTTGTTGTTAGCTGTCCTCAAGTCAGCTCCAAGTCATGGTGACTGTATGTATAACAGAACAAAACATTGTCTGGTCCTGCGCAATTTCTCTGCTCTTTGATGTGTTTGAATCCATTGTTTTTGCTATTGTGCCTTCCATCTCCTTGAGCGTTCCCTCATTTTCACCAGCCCCCTACTTTACCAGACATAATGTCTTTTTCTAGAGATTCGTCTTTTCTGGTAACTTGTCCAAAATAAGTAAGCCAAAGTTTCACCAACCTTGCTTCTAAGGAGCATTCTGGCTGTACTTCTTCCACAGAAGATTTGTTCATTCTTCTAGCAGTGCATGGTATATTCGATATTCTTTGCCAACAACACAATTCAATAGCATCAATTACATAAACACACACATCTCACTGCTGTCGAGTCAATTCAACTCATAGCGACCCCTCCTTGGGTTTCCAAGGCAGTTTCTCTACAGAAGTATATTGCCCAACCTTCCTTCTGACACACACACATATACTAAGTATAAATTAATATATACATATATTAATCACTTAAGATAGTGCCTGCCTTAGCTTGTTAGCTAAGAAGAATATTATTTCCTTTATCTAGCTACGTCAGTGTTAAAAATTCCTCCTTGCCCAGCACTGATCTGCACTGTACTAGGCTGTACAGAGGTGGGCCAGTGGCAGGCTGGAGTGGGCCCGGAGATATGTGTTTGAAGGATCTAGATTCAGGGGCAGTCCCACCCCTACCATGTGGCTCACTGGCCCTGTCTTTTCTCTCTTCCCTGCAGATGTCCATGAAAGAGGTGGGTGATGGCTTGCAGGATCAGATGAACAGCATGATGGGGGCGCTGCAGGAACTGAAACTTCTCCAGGTGCAGACAGCATTGGAACAGCTGGAGATCTCTGAAAGGGGTCCTGCCCCCGGCTGCTCTGAAAGCCCCTGGACACAGCCTGAGCCTCCTCGATGGGAGGGTAGCAGGGGCCCCACCAGGCCTTTGGCTGGCTTCCCCTCCAACCAAACTACTCTTGACAGCACCACCAAGTTTCCACACCATAAGAATATCTGTGGGAGGGAGGTGGCCCCCCTGCCCAGGATACAGTTGCCAGAGTACCAAAGCTGTGCCCAGCAGGGGCCAGAGCATGTGGAACCAGATGACTGGACCTCCACATTGATGTCCCGGGGCCGGAACCGACAGCCTCTGGTATTAGGGGACAATGTCTTTGCAGACCTGGTGGGCAATTGGCTGGACTTACCAGAACTGGAGAAGGGTGGGGAGAAGGGAGAGACTGAGGAGGCTAGTGAGCCCAAAGGGGGGAGAGGCCAGCTCCGGGAGCTGGGCCGCAGGTTTGCCCTAACAGCAAACATCTTTAGGAAGTTCTTGCGTAGTGTGCGGCCTGACCGGGATCGGTTGCTGAAGGAGAAGCCCGGCTGGGTGACACCCATGGCCTCTGAGCTCCGAGCTGGACGCTCCCAGAAGGTCAAGAAAAGGAGTCATTCCAAGAGCTCTGGACATATCTCCTTCCCTGGCATCAGGGAACCCAAGCGAGGGGAAAATCTCTCCACAAGTTGCCCCAAGGCCCTGGAACCATCACCCTCTGGCTTTGATATTAACACAGCTGTTTGGGTCTGAATTCTAGAGACAGAAAGTTGACTGGATTTGAAAGGCCCAGGTGAAGATGCCATGACCCTGGGAGGAGGGTGGAATGGCAGTATGGCTTTGAAATGCCCAACTCCAAGTTCTTTTCCCCAAGAAAGGAGAGGGAAGGGCAGAAGCAGGCCCCTAGGTCTCCAAGCAAGAAGTCTTGTGTGGGGTTAATGGCCTGTGCTTGGAAGAGGCTGTTGCAGGGGCTGATTGGTGGGTGAGGTGCGAGTTCATGGATTACATGTATTTGTGTGTGCTCGTTTTGGGGCTGGAGGTGACATCAGGGAAGGAACAGGGAGAGGAGACTAGGCATATCTTTCCCCCTGGCATTCCTTCATTGTCCCTAAAGACTTCAGTTGAACATTCTATATGGAAAAGGGCACTGGGGCCTCAGGTTGCCCATAGAGGCCCTCAGTAAAAACCTTGTCTTTGGTGTCCCCAGCTGTATAATGTTTGCTTCCCTGGCAAGGCAAGGTAGTGACCCCCAACCCTACTTGGAGTTAGAGAAGCAGTGAGGCAAATTCCCATTTCCCACCCTTTCCTACTGCCTTTGAGATTTCAGCCCAGACCTGGGCCCAGAGAAAAAAAACCCAAACCTGTTGCCATTGAGTTGATTCTGACTTATGGCAACCTCATGTGTTACAAGGTAGAACTGAGCCCCGTAGAGTTTTCTTGTCTGTCATCTTGACAGAAGCAGATCACTAGGCCTTTCTCCTGCAGTGTGCCAGTGGGGGGGTTCCAACTGGGCACAAATAAATCATTTGTACCACCCAGGGACCTGGAGAAGCCCTAGTTACTCTTTTCAGTCTTTCAAAAAGCACAGAGGGAGAAATTATAATATTTGTTGAGCACATTACACTTTTGAAAGCCCTTTCATTTATCCATTACTGCATTGGTAAGCAGGCAAGTAAGGGAAATAAGTATTAACCCCGTTTCCCAGATGAAGAAATAAGCCTAGATATACTGTTGTCCAAGACCATACTACTGGCAGGATGTAGAACTGTCCAGATCTGACTCAAGAGTAGAAGCTAAGGCCTGGAGTTACACACGCCCCTCCAACAATACTTAGAACCACCACCTTCCCTCCCCTAAATACCCCAGCCCCAGCTCCAGGAGCCCCAGAACACAAGTCAAGACAGTTGCCATTGAGTCAGTTAGGTCTCCATCGGTTTCAGAGTAGAGCCGTTCTTCGTAGGGTTTTCAGTGGATCTTTTGGAAGTAGATTTCAGGCCTTTTGGAGGTGACTGGGAGGATTTGAACCACCAAATTAGTAGTCAAGGGCTTAACTATTTGGGCCTCTCAGAGACTCCTCCAGGAGCCCAGAAGAAATCTCCACTCATTCTTAAACTCCTGGCTCCCTTACCAGGGCCCTCTCTTGCCCTGGGTACAGGCATTGGCCTCATCTTCCCTCAGCCAGGGCCAAGGGGGCTGGGCTGGGACAGCAGCTCAGCTCCCATCACTGGTGGCAGCAGCTAAAGCTTTTCTAAAGCCTCTCTGGGCACGTGGCCCAGGGAAACAGCCACACAGATCAAGGGCCCGCCTCGGCCCACCCCCGGGAAGTTAGCACCCCTCCCACTCCAGCTTGGGAACACCCCACTGGCTGGGAAAAGACAATGTGGGTCCGTGTTTGGGCCGGCCAGCCGCATGTAGGGCACTCCCTTTCCCCTCCCTTTTCCCCCTCTGGGCTGATCTCCCTACAGCTTGATGGGGTGTGACAGCTGCAATTAGAGGCAAGACGCCTTCCTGGCCTCAGAGCATTAATAGCAAATTGGAGAAGAAAAATAAGAACAAGAAAAGCTCTTCTGCCTGCATTCTGGACCCCCAAGGGGCAGAGGTGGGGGGAGGGACTTACAGTAAGTAGCTCTGCAGCTCTAGTTGGGGGTAGGGAGCATAGCAGCAGTAGTTAGGGGCACCCTCAAATTCCCATGCAGTAAAACGGTACGTGTTCACTTTCTGGTGGGGCAAGCTACCAGAAGCGGAAAAGGGTACCAATTGTTTTGAGTACCCACTGTTTGCCAGACAATCTGCACAATATCTCTTTCAATCTTGAGAATGACCCTAGAAGGTTTTATCTTTTTCTAGATACATGAAGGTTCCTAAAGGCCATTTAAGAGGTCCAGGATCATGCTGCTGGCAAAAAAAAGGATTTGAACCAGAGAGTTGTCTGGCTTCCAAGCTCTAATCCTTTCCTCTCCTTGAAGTTTGCCATGAGCTAGCCCTTTCTGGAAGAGCAGGCCTGTAACCAACATTTGTATCTCTCCATAGAACTCGGACATTTCAGTCTGAGTGAAGGCATCTTGGCTGTGGCTGCCTTTGGTTTGTGTGTGTGTGTGTGTGTGTAAAATGTGTTTGTGAAGATTCCATCTACTGATGTGCTGATTCATGAGAAGAGTGAGCCCTGGGCCATCAGGCAAATTATTCAAAATGGCGCCAGCCACATGTCTAGAATGATTCTATAGGAAACCAAGTTAGCTCTTGGCCATTCATTGCAACTCATCTGTTTTGTGGACGTACTGGTTCAGGTAAATTGAACAAACTTATGAACACCGCCCAATGCCAGGCATGGTGCTAGGAACTAAGGACGGAGTGATGAAAAAGGCCCAACTGCTGATCTCAAAGAGGAACAGTGAAAAAGACAAGCAGGCTCTTAACAGTTAGAAGGGATTCAAGGGAATGAAAATTCATTTTAGGGCCAGAACAAAACAAGTTGGAAGTGATACTGGCTGCCAACATAATTCACAGGTGCTAGGCGCCTTCAAAGGGGCTCTGGTGGTACAGTGTCAAAGGCATTTAACTGCTAACCAAAAGGTTGGTGGTTCAAATCCACCAACTGCTCTGGAAGGAAGATGGGGCAATCTATTTCTGTAAAGATTTACTGCCTTGGAAACCCAGTGGGAGTCATTATGAGTCAGAATCAACTCTGGCAGGAGTTTGGGTCTTTTTAGTTTAGTTTAGTTTTGTTTTGAGGCACTTTCAGGAGCCCGTAGCACAAAGGTTAAAGCGCTAAGCTGCTAACCAAAAGGTCATGGGTTCAAACCTACCAGCTGCTCTGCAGGAGAAAGGTGTGGCAGTCTGCTTCCATAAAACTTTACATCCTTGGAAACTGTATGGGGCAGTTCTACTCTGTCCTCTAGGATCACTATAAGTCTGGATCGACTTGATAGCAGTGGGTTTGGTTTGGTTTGATTTGGTTTTGATTTAGCCACCCTCACTTTTGGGTTCTTACTTCCTTCTGAGACTACACCCTGTAAGGGGTTATTATTATAACTCTTATTTTACATGGGTAGGCACTTGAGTGCTAACCAGAATGCTGGCAGTTCAAACTCACCAACCACTCCTCAGAAAGACTGGGCAATCTACTTCCATAGAGATACCGCCTTGGAAACCTAAGGAGGGGTTGCTATGAATTGGAGACAACTCGATGGCATATAACAACAACAATAGGCTCAGAGAAGTTAAATAACTTGTCCAAGGTCACATAACACCAGAGCTAGGATTGAAACACCTCCAACTGACACCCAATCTTGTCTTTTTGTATTATCCCACAAATTGTCCATATCTGCTCCAAAGCCAAATCAAAGGAAAGAAGAACAAAACCTGTCCTCCCCAGATTATCCATGCCCCTGCATGGATAATAAATGGAATGTGACTCTCCCGTGGTGGAATTTCGACAGGGTTGATGGAATACCCACCTACTATGTTATGCTTTGCTAAAGGAAGATTATGGCCAATTCATTTAATAACCACCCCCCCACCATACCATAAGTTTCACTTTTTCCTCACTTTCTGGGTACCTGTGGTGACAATGATGGAGACTATATTTTACTGAAACTGAGAGAAGAAGTGAATGGAAATGCTCGGGGCCTAAGTGATGCAGGAATGTGTAGATGAGGGTGAGCAGAAAGAGAGTGTGTATGTGAGGAGATAGTGGAGATAAGCTGAGAGAAACTGACAGCTTAATTCTGTCCCTGGGGCTCATTTTATGGTTAATTAGGACATGCAAATGAACTGGAAGCTCATTTAATACCCTCCCTGGCATGCAGCCCCACCCCACACCTGACCCACTTCCTTAACAGGTACATAGCCCCCTCTCTGCTTGGTCATCTGCTCAGGGTCCCACCTGCTCCTTTGTGGCCCTGGGGCCACAATGTGTGTATGGACGTTTCTCAACCATAAGCAAGCTGGACAAGATAGTCCCCGCTGGACATGGCCCATGGAGCCTGCCTAGGCTCCCTCCTTCCCTTTCTTTTCCAACCTTTCAGACCTGGGACCTCTCTTTCCTGGAGGGTACAGAGCCTCTCACCCTCAAGCATTTCCCTTACACCCTACTCCTCAGGATCATCTCTGGATCTAAATTTGCTCTGAGGGATAGAGACCTGGTTCAGCTGTTGCCACCCCATCCCCACCCTCTTCCAGAGCCTGTGTGTGTGTGTGTGTGTGTGTATCTTCCATCTTTTCCACATCACACCACCATATCCGCAGGTCCTAGGTAAAAGCCTGTCACTGGAGAGCAGGGGCCTTTCTCCAGAGCAGGCGACCTCCAGGGAAGTTAAGGCATGTCCGCCAGCACCCACGGTATGGCCACTGGACTTGGAGTTAAACAGGATTTCAGACACTTCTGTCACTGAGCAAGCTTGAACATGCCTGACCTCCCAGCCTCAGTTATCTCATCTGTGAATAGGGGCTAATGCAGGACTGCTGTGAGATTTTGGACATAATGCCCTTCAGAGTCAAGCACATACAACACAGCAGAAGCTTTATCTACATTGGACTCCCCACTCCCTCAGTGCACACCCTAAACCATGTGACCTGCAGCAAAATAATAATGATAATAAATGGTAAAGGTACCAAGTTTCTCTGAGCCTCAGTCTCCTGAAATTTTATACTGGCCCTTATACCTCACAGGGTTGGAGTAGGGATCAAAGAAGACAATGGGTGTGAGCATGTTTTTGAATGTTGTACAATATTGCCCAGATGGCTGTTGTTAT